CATTGAGAAATACTGTGAGAGCTGTGATTGGTCACAGCTTGTCACATGGTACAAGGCTGTTGTGAATATCATTCACGGATTTCACACATAGTAAGCAATGATGTCAGGAAGTGACATCTTGTTTACTACTGTTCCTGTGATCACTGATTGGCCAATCAGTGATCACATGAATGGGACCTCACAGAGGTCCCGTACAGCGTTCGGTGTACAGAGATTCGGATACAGCGGGCACCGGATCGCAGTGCCGCATGCTCCTAGGGAACGCGCACAGGCAGGGAATGCAGAGGCCGTTTATAAACGGCAACCCGCTCCTGCACTACTCCTGTCTGGCCATTTATGTACATGGCCCGGGCGGGAAGTGGTTAAAGTGCAACTAAACCCTCCTCTCCTTTACCGCCAAGGAAGCTGCCATCTTAGCCTTTGTTTAGTTTACAGTTGCCATGGTGGTGCACATGTGATCAGACAGGACGCCAGCCATTTGATGGTTTGATAGTTCAGTTGACAGCATAAGCAACTGTGACAGTTATTATTCATGGCACACCTTGAATGTAACTGTCTTGGAAACCGGTTGGGTTTAGTTCTGTGTTAAAGCGCATGTGTAAACTCTAACTGGATGACATTTAGTTTGGTGAAGCCCCGTGTTTAATAAGTAGAGATGAGCTTGGGCGCTCTTCTGAACCCATGTAGCTGAGCCTGCCAGGAAGCGGGTGCTTGGAAAAGGGCCAATCACCTACAGCCAGAGCATCCCCCCTTGTTTTTTTTAACAAGTAAAACTGTTTGTTGAATAAAAAGATACAATATTATTATTGTTATTATTATACAGGATTTATATAGCGCCAACAGTTTGCTCAGCGCTTTACAATATAAAGAGAGACAATACAGCAACAATACAGTTCAGTACAAGAGGGTGAGGAGGGCCCTGCTCCTTGGAGCTTACAATCTAGGAGGGAGGGGCTAGTGGTACAAAAGGTAATAACTGTGGGGGATGGACTGGTTGGAAGAGTAGAAGATTCCGTTATTAGCTGAGGGCAGGATAGGCTTCCCTGAAGAGAGAGGTTTTCAGAGATCGCCTAAAAGTGAGCAGAGTAGGCGATAGTCTGATGAATTGGGGTAGAGAGTGCCAGAGGATGGGTGAAGCTGTGGAGAAGTTCTGGGGATGAGCATGGGAGGAGGAGACAAGAGCTAGAGAGTAGGAGGTCTTGCGAGGAGTGGAGAGTACAGTTTGGGTGATATTTGGAGACAAGATCGGTGATGTAATTTGTGGTAGTGTTATCAATGGCTTTATACGTTATTGTTAATGTTTTGAATTTTATCCGTTGGGCAATGGGAAGCCAGTGGAGGGATTGGCAGAGAGGGTTGGCAGATACAGAACTGTTAGTAAGGTGGATGAGTCTGGCAGCAGCATTCATGTATACAAGCAGTATACAAATCGTATCCAGTGCCAACAGAGATCCAACCCCCCCCCCCCTTGTTTACATGCAGCTGTGGCATGGGAATTGTCCCTGTTGCCAACTGGCCCTTTAAAGGTTATGTAGTTGGTATGGTTGAATAAAGACACTGGTTCATCCAGTTCAACCCGAGAGCGTGTGACTACTTTTATCCCTTATCTCTATACATTGTGTTTTTTACTCCATCTACACTCTCTGCTAATACCAGCAAGTATGGAAGGGAGTTTAATATTCTTACCGCTCTAACAGTAAAGAACTCCTTACGCAGCTTAAGATTGAACCACTTCTTGTCCAACTTCATTGTGTGGCCCCATGTCTTCTTTAGAAACCAAAATTTAAAATGTTTTCTTCCAATGCTAGAGTCACCATTCAATGATTTGTATATCACCATCATATCCCCTCTTAACCCCTTGACGCCGACGTAACACAAATATGCGGCCTCACGGACCTGGGCTTTTTTCCGTGGGGCCGCATATTTGCGTACCTGTCTTTGTGCTGGGAGCGCGCCGCTCGGCGCGCTCCCAGCGCCAAGACCGCGGTGTCACTGAGAGCCCCGGGTCCCGTTCTAACGATCGGGGACCCGGGACTCCCGATTCCGGGTCACGTGATCGCTGTGATAGTCTCTGATTGGCTTCACAGTGATCAATCACTGTGCAGCCCGGCCCCCTTGTTTTTCTCTCTCTATGAATGGAGAAGAGAGATTGTTGTATCTCTCGAACTCCTGACATCATAGAAAAAAAGTTTGTAAAAAAAAAAAAAAAAGATAAATAAATATTAAAAAATAAAGAAAAATACCTAGATCAAGGTTTGATCTAGTTCAGTACCAGGGTTAGTGTTTGGGTCAAGGTCAGGGTCAAAGGTCCAAAGGTCAGGGTCAAAGGTCAGGATTTAAAAAAAAAAAATTGGTATCAGTGTCAGTTAGTGTTAATGTCAATGTCAGTGACAGTGTTTTTATGTAAAAAAAGAAAAAAAAGAAAAAAAAAGACAAAAACAAAATGCGCACTGTTGTTTCTGGGCTGTACTACGGGTACAAACAACAAATAACCATATAATCGCTTTAAGAAAATGTATTTTGGGTTGTTCTTTGGTGGTAGGTTATGGTCGTAACAAGAAACACACAGTTAAATTTAAAAAAATGATTTTTTTACTATTTTGGCCCAGTTTTCCTTTAATAAAAAAAAAAAAATTAGGAGCTATCCATGACCATTTACCACCAAATGAAAGCCCAATTTGTCCTGAAAAAAAACAAGGTATAATCACCTGGATGTACAAAGTAGTTGTGACGGTATGTACGGTTTTACTAACATGTCAACGTTGCAGAATTGTGCTTAGGCATTTAGATTTGTTTTACCCTTAGGCGTGAAGGGGTTAAGCATGGCTTCTCCAGGGAGAATTAGTTTAATTTTAGTAGTCGTTTTTGTGGTCTCCTTAAGACCAAAATTTAAAATAAATAGCGAGTTACAGAAACTAATTATGATTGTCAGTTAAACTTTTTCATTGTTTCTAAGCTGGGAATGTCTGTGATTTAAATTCATCTGTACAAAACTCTGGGGTAGAACAAACAATTCAGGTTTCTGCAGCTCTGAGATAGGTAAACATACATGACACATGGATCTTGGCCTATCTTAAGTCAGTCCAGTTACCCTCAAAAATCATCTTTTAAAATGTAAAATCATAGAAACCTTACCACCACCACAACTATGGAAGGGAGTTCCACATCCTTACTACTCTAACAGTTAAGAACCCCTTATGCAGTTTAAGATTGAACCACTTCTTGTCCAACTTCATTTTGTGGCCGCATGTCTTCTTTAGAGACCAAAATTGACAAAAGTTTCCTCCCAATGCTAGAGTCACTATTCAATGATTTGTATATTGTTATCATATCCCCTCTTAAGCATTGCTTCTCCAGGGAGAATAAGTTTAATTTTTGTAGTAGTTCCTCATAACTGAGGCCCTCCAGTCCCCTTATTAGCTTTTTTGCCCTTCTCTGGACTATCTCCAGTCCAAGGACATTGTAAGGATTGGTGACCAAAAGAACTGGTAGGCATACTCAGGCCAGACCAAAGTTTTAAAAGGATCATAGCGATTACTTCCTGGCACCTCGGACACTTGGGTTTGGAAGAGCATTCTCTTCCCATTCTCCATATCTATTAATAAACAGTTGCCATGATTTTTTTCCCCTTAAACACTGTTTTTACCCATATTTTATTTTTTTTTCACCATCTGTGTGCTTCTGATCTCCTCCAGCCACTTTCTGTCTACATGCACTCAGCTCCACCATCAGCTGCACATTGTTGTTCTGAAATTAATTCTTACTGGTGACAGCTTGGACCATGGTTGTGTAATGTGTGTCACCTGCGCCGCTTGTAGTCTGCACCAGCAGCATATATAACAAAGTGACAATGTAGCAAAGTTGGGAGACAGTGTTCACCCCATATCAGAAAGTGTCTGACCAAAGACATTCATGGGAAGATCACCACAGATTACCAGCTGGTGTCAAAAAGTTTAGAGACTAGCTCTGTTTACAAGTAAGTAATTTATTTATTTACGTTTACACATTATCACCCTCAAAATAGCCCTCTTGCACAGCAATACAGCGTTCCCAGTGTTCATGCCACTTCTGGAATGTGTCCTGGAAGTCTTCTTTTCGAAGCACGTCAAGCAAAACAGCGACCTTTCAGCTGGATCTTCAGCTTCTGGAAGATGGTGAAATCCACAGAAGTCAAATCTTGCGAGTAGGGTGGGTGCGGAAGTGAGATCATTGCAGCCTGGTGACGAACTTGGCAGCAACATGGTTCATGTTCAAATCACACGAGAGGATTGCCTGGACTGTTCCATATATCACACCGACAATGGCAGCAATGTTGTGGATTGTTCTCCCACGATCATCATGCACCAAGTGGTTTCGACATTGTGACATATTCCGGGGTTGAGTTAGTTTAAGGTCTTCCTGATCTCTTGTTGTTGTCCAGTGATGGCCACTCAAAACACCTTGAACGAATCATTGCAGCATCGCAGTAAACTTGCCAAATCATGTCAAACGTCTCTGTGACATATTTGCCCAAAATTTCATGTTTGCTCTTTGTCCTAACTTGCTGTCCATGATGAAATAGCAGACGTGGTAACGCCCATGGTCAGAATAGCACCAGTTGCACAGCTCCCGATGTACACATGACGATGTCTTTTGGTACTCTGACCTATGAAGGTTGGTGCTTCCTGTGACTGTGCGTGTAGCCTTGAGCTGCCATCTGTTGGCATGTTACAGAACTAGTCTCTAAACTTTTTGATACCACCTCGTACTTTAATGAAAACTGCAGAATTAAAAGTATAAAAAGCAACTTTTGAAATGATGTTTGAGCCTATGTAAGAATTAAGTGATTAGGTGTAGAGCTACTTTAATCATGTTTTGGAGATATGGTGAAAACATCTTTTTTTTATTTAGAATTTGGCCTTTAATAATTATTATACTGCATACACATTTTCCAGGGCCGGTGTTATCCTAATGGGGTTTGGAAATATGTAGAAGGACACAAGGTTCTGTAGAAAGATGTTATGATGGAGAACTGGCCACCCCTCACATCACCGGGTAAGAGGAGACTTTACTTTCTTATAAAGGAGAGAAGAGTATTGAAGTTCCACCTAGATACACACATCCTCTGATATAAAGACGTAGAAATAATGTATTCAGTCAGTGTGTGTGTTTCCTACAGATGAATCCAGTAATCGAAATCCCGCAAAGAGATGTCCCCGTCCTCTGTATTCCCGGGAATCCACACAGGAACATCAGGAGATCCCTCAGGATTATGAGGTAGATGACACTTTTAAGAGCAAGTTCCAATCTCTGGATCAAGGGCTGGTGATCCATGTCTTAAATCCAATGACTGTTATTGAAAAAGTTCTAGATTTTGACATACGTGGCTCCCCTGCTTCCTCTAGTCACCTACCACTGATTGAAAATTGCTAAAGTTGCCCTTTAACAATACTATTATTTGTAAAGTGGCTTTGTGGACTTTAGTTAAATAATGCAATATCTTTGTCATGTTGTGTCTCTAAGAATGGAAATCTGATTGTGGTTAAAGCTGAAGTGAAAGAGGAAGCAGAAGAGACATCTTTGAGGAAAGAGATTCCTCCAGAGATCAGCCCAGGTGAGTAATAAACACTAAATCCAGAGAAGAGTCCCAGATCCTCCTTGTTCAGTGACTACAACAATCTCTTCTTCTCCCCCCTCCTCTGTCAGTAGGCAGTAATGGGGGGACAGTATGTGCCCAGTGGGGGGGTCAGGAGCCATCAGCCTCTATTGGACTTTGGCTCTCCTCCTCACATCATGTGGAACTGATTTCATTTCTCTGACAAATAGCTTGGTTACATGCTGAAGCACCACCCTAATCTGATTAATTTCAGTTTGGAAAAGAAAAATGTTTCACGTAATTTTCTCAGCGACACATGGTTTTCATCAAAATTTGATAGGCTCCACTTTGATCAGCAGAAGTTGGCATGGAGTTTAATGAGGCTGCCCCGGTTCCTGCTCATGCAAAACTCTCTACTAGCCAATTTCTATCAAGCTGTTATTAAGAATTAGGAGACTGCAGGTGATGCAGCACTGTAAAATTGGCAAGCAGCAGGCCATTTTTGAGCAGGTAGAATTGACTGAAATGTACTTGGGAAAAAGAGTACAGACAGGTATTTTGCTACTAGTACTAAAAGACGACAGATGACACAGCAGTGTAAAATTGGCCTACAGCGGGACAATTGTTAATAGCAAGGCCAGACCTAAATTAAAGTGGTAATTAACTCTCTTCTGTAAAACCCACTAACAGGCAGGGTTTTATAGAGGTCTCTTCTGTCATAAATTACCCCCCTTGCCTGTCAGTGGGTAATTCAATCTGAGCCATGCATGCGCAACTCAGATCAAATTTACAGCCCACTCTGCATGCCATGGCGAAGTGACTCCAGTGAAGTCACCACAGCCCAAGCATTCAAATGGCAGAAGATTTAGAACCTGGAAAGAAAACCGGGTTAACATGGAAGCGCCGTGGACCAGAGAGAACAGTGACAGCCCACCGCTGGATAAATCCATCTATAGGTAAGCCTCTCATAATGTACTACATAGTTACATAGTCTGCCTGAAAAAAAGACAAAAGTCTATCTAGTTCAACCATTAAAAAAAAAAAAAGTTATAATCCTACACCCACAGTTGATTCAGAGGAAGGCAAAAAAAAAAACCCAGCAAAGCATGATCCAATTTGTTCCTGCAGGGAAAAAAAAAATCCTTCCTGATCCCCCGAGAGGCAATTGGATATTCCCTGGATCAACTTTACCTATAAATGTTATATCCAGTTACAGTCAGGTCCATAAATATTGGGACAAAGACACAATTCTAACATTTTTGGCTCTATACACCACCACAATGGATTTGAAATGAAACAAACAAGATGTCCTTTAACTGCAGACTGTCAGCTTTAATTTGAGGGTATTTACATCCAAATCAGGTGAACGTGTGTAGGAATTACGACAGTTTGCATATGTGTCTCCCACTTGTTAAGGGACCAAAAGTAATGGGACAATTGGCTTCTCAGCTGTTCCATGACCAGGTGTGTGTTATTCCCTCATTATCCCAATTACAATGAGCAGACAAAAGGACCAGAGTTAATTTCAAGTGTGCTATATGCATTTGGAATCTGTTGCTGTCAACTCTCAAGATGAGATCCAAAGAGCTGTCACTATCAGTGAAGCAAGCCATCATTAGGCTGAAAAAACAAAACAAACCCATCAGAGAGATAGCAAAAACATTAGGCGTGGCCAAAACAACTGTTTGGAACATTCTTAAAAAGAAGGAACGCACCGGTGAGCTCAGCAACACCAAAAGACCCGGAAGACCACGGAAAACAACTGTGGTGGATGACTGAAGAATTCTTTCCCTGGTGAAGAAAACACCCTTCACAACAGTTGGCCAGATCAAGAACACTCTCCAGGAGGTAGGTGTATGTGTGTCAAAGTCAACAATCAAGAGAAGACTTCACCAGAGTGAATACAGAGGGTTCATCACAAGATGTAAACCATTGGTGAGCCTCAAAAACAGGAAGGCCAGATTAGAGTTTGCCAAACGACACCTAAAGAAGCCTTCACAGTTCTGGAACAACATCCTATGGACAGATGAGACCAAGATCAACTTGTACCAGAGTGATGGGAAGAGAAGAGTACGGAGAAGGAAAGGAACTGTTTCATGATCCTAAGCATACCACCTCATCAGTGAAGCATGGCGGTGGTAGTGTCATTGCGTGGGCATGTATGGCTGCCAATGGAACTGGTTCTCTTGTATTTATTGATGATGTGACTGCTGACAAAAGCAGCAGGATGAATTGTGAAGTGTTTCAGGCAATATTATCTGCTCATATTTAGCCTAATGCTTCAGAACTCATTGGACACCGCTTCACAGTGCAGATGGACAATGACCCAAAGCATACTGCAAAAGCAACCAAAGAGTTTTTTTAAGGGAAAGAAGTGGAATGTTATGCAATGGCCAAGTCAATCACCTGACCTGAATCCGATTGAGCATGCATTTCACTTGCTGAAGACAAAACTGAAGGGAAAATGCTCCAAGAACAAGCAGGAAATAAAGACAGTTGCAGTAGAGGCCTGGCAGAGCATCACCAGGGAGGAAACCCAGCGTCTGGTGATGTCTATGCGTTCCAGACTTCAGGCTGTAATTGACTGTATTAAAAAGTGAAAGTTTGATTTATGATTATTATTCTGTCCCATTACTTTTGGTCCCTTAACAAGTGGGAGGCACATATGCAAACTGTTGTAATTCCTACACCGTTCACCTGATTTGGATGTAAATACCTTCAAATTAAAGCTGACAGTCTGCAGTTAAAACACATCTTGTTCGTTTCATTTCAAATCCATTGTGGTGGTGTATAGAGCCAAAAATGTTAGAATTGTGTCAACGTTCCAATATTTATGGACTTGACTGTATATTCTGTGTATCTAAGAAAGAATCCAGGACTTTCCTACAGCAATCCACTAAGCTGGCCAGAATCAATTCTTGAGGGAGTCTATTCCACATTTTCACAGCTATTACTGTGAAGAAACCTTTCCATGTTTGGAAATTAAATTTCTTTTCCTCTGCATACTAGTATGCGGTGCTGTATGACTTAAACCTGCAGGGGGACACTTTTTTTAAATCTCTACTTCCACTTTAATGCAAGATCAAGAGAACAGGCTGGGAATTTACTAGAATGAGTAAAGTAAATGAGTGAACCAGGTAAGTTTCAGTTTGTATTAGATTCAGTGAACCCAGGAAAATATCTGCGAAATCTAAACATAACCTTGAATCCTTTTGGAGTCAATGAGAGCTGAATCTTATTTTTATGGCCTTTATCAAGGACAATTTGTAAGTTTGTGGTAAAAAAAAGGGGTATGGGCGGCTTGGCATTGTCATGGCGGAGAGAGGGGCTTGGTCAGTAACTAATGGAGATGGCCACTAACTAGTATATGCTTTGCTTTAAGCAACCCAATGTAAAAATAGGCAGTATCATACCATAAAATAAAACCAATATATCTCCAAAATTGATGAAAATCCTAAAACACAACCACTGCAAAAAATAATGCTTAGAGGGCATTATTGATCATACACAAATCCTTTTAATAACACACTTGGAGGATGTCTTAAAGTTGCACATTAACTTGTGGAGGCAGTATGATGAACTTTAAATATCACAGCTCTCTGTTGCTGCTGAAGTGTAAACTAGCCAGCTGGAATCTCAGGCCATGACCATGTTTGATCAGCAATGTCATTCAGGATCCCCACTGACTTGTTTACCACTTCAAACACAAGCAGGCAGACGTCTGTCATTTAATGGCAGTAATGGTACCACTGCTAAATGGCAGACTTCCATCTACAATTCGAGGTGTCAAACTGGCAGCCATCATACCTCTGCCTTTGGGAGTCATGCTTGTAACTGTCAATTTTGCAAAGCTTCATGGGACTTGTAATTTGGCAATAGCTGGAGGGCTGTCAGTTTGAAACCCGTGGTCACAATCAACTGGTGGTTTCTTGTAATTGCTGAAGAGGATATAGCAGTGTAAAATTGGACAGCAGGGATAATAGGCCTAATTGGTATATGCCTAACTTTATTTTATCCATGGGGATAGGGGTTGCCATGAATGTGAGATGGTTTTGTTGCACACTGTTCTTGGACTTTCAAAGGGTACAGCGGCTAGCTGTTTACAGAAGGCAGCTCCATGAGCAGATGGGCAGTGACTAGTAAATACTTTGCCTTAAGCACCCCAAAGTTAAAAAAGGCAGTGTAATAACATAAAAGCAAAAACCAATATATCTACAAAAGAGATAAAAATCCCCCAAAAAACACTCCAAAAATTAATGCTAGGACTATGAATCTCAAAATAATACAGGGGGCTTCACTTTTATTTTTATTCACAGACACCAGTGCAACTCAAGAAAAAGTCAAAGGTGAGGAGGAGGAAGAAGGACATGAAGAGATTAGAGAGGAAGCAATTCCTTTACAAATCTCTGCAGGTGAGTAACAAACATTATATGGCCCTTAGTGGAGAGGACTTTCATTAGCTATTTGGTTCTGCACCCTTGTTCTTATCAAAGCGGAGAAAATGAGAGCCAAAATGCTGAGTTGCTGCCCATTGCAACCAATTAGAAATCTCACGTTGATATTTCATTAAAGGACAGTTGAAATTTGAATAAACAGAGCATTTTGCCTTGGTGGGATTTTCAAGGCACAACACAATTGTTCTCCTAAAACATACATTTTATTTGTACACACATATTTTAAACCAATTTTTTTACATCAAATTTAGTGCATAAAGCCACATATGCATTGAAGCTTGCAACGCAAGTACAGTACAGATTACTTATTCAGGTTTTCAGAAATCTCAACGTGTTTCTTGGATTTTATCCACTTCATAAGGAGTTAAAGATGATTACCACTAAATATGAAAAAACATTTATATTTTGAACACATATTATTATATTCTGCCCAATGTATATCTATGGTTTTTCAGTTTCCATTTACCTGAATATGTCCAAAAAGAAACAAAAGAGGAAGGATCAACGCCGGAAGATCCAGCAGGGAGATATGGATAGATGTGATCCCATTAAGCTGATTGCGACAAAAGGCACTAAAAAAATATGTTGGTGGATTACCCCATATACTAAATGGAATTGAAACATAACCGGGTACTTTAAAGCGGAATTCCACCCAAAAGAGGAAGTTCCACTTTAAGGACTAATATAAAGTGAATTGGTGCAGCACTACCCCAACACTGCACTACTCCCTCACTGTCTTTTCCCAAAAATAGATGAAATAAACTAATAAATGATGTACAATAAATATGTAAAATAGAATAGAATGCACATAAAAACAGTTTGAATCATCCAAAATGACTCATACAAAACTTAAAAGTGACTAATGAATGCCACCAGTGCAGTTCAGTGAATATAACAAGCCATTCTTTCACAGTTCATAAAGTGAGCTGATCCGCTAAGTGATCCTTAGTGGAACAAAAATTGAATAGATAATGTGTAGTTAAAGAAACGCCAGTGAAAGAAAAAGTCCTGATGGGACTTCAATATTTATGAACCATAATAAACATAAAAGGTAAATCCCTAAATGTGGGATCAATACTCACACTAAAAGTAATGGTGACCACAAAGGCTGTAAATTAGCCAAAATTAGTGTAAACTAGTGAATCTCTGAATATGGGATCAAATATATCACATAATTGTGACAAGTGCAGTGATAATAATAATCAACATAAAAAGTGAATCCCTGAATGTGGGATCAATAAATACATTAATAATATTGGGGCAGCACAGTGGCTAAATGGTTAGCACTTCCGCCTGGCAGCACTAGGGTCATTGGTTCAAATCTCAGCCACGGCACCGCCTGCCTGGAGTTAGCATGTTCTCCCTGTGCCTGCGTGGGTTTCCTTCAGGTACTCCGGTTTCCTCCCACCCTCCAAAGACATGCTGGTAGGTGAATTGGATCCTGTCTAAATTGGCCCTAGTATGTGTATGTATGAATGTGAGTTAGGGACCTTAGATTGTACGCCCCTTAAGGGTTAGAGACTGATGTGAATGTACAATATATGTATGTAAAGGGCTGCGTAAATTGATGGCGCTATAAAAGTACCTGTAATAAATAAATAAAATATTAATAGTGACCATAAATTAGCCAAAAAATAGTAAAAAAATATCCGTGAATCCCTGAATGTGGAATTAAATATATTACTCTAAAGTGACAAGTGCAGTGATTACAAGAGCAAACAAAAATTAAATAAATAAAATTAATAAATAAATAAAATAAAACATAAATATGTGGTATCACATATTAAGGACTCATCCCCCACTCCCTGTTAAGAATTGGCATCTTTGGGGAGTTAGGGGGGGAGTAGCAGGTACCCGATTTTGACAGGTACCCGCCCCCCAACTTCTATTCCGACCACCTAGATGGTCAGAAGCGAAGGTTGTCCTCCCCTCTTCCCCCTGCCTGCAGTCTTCTGGGACACGTGACAGGTCCCAGAAGACTGCGGGAACTTTCACAATGCGCAGAGCTGCTCGCACATGCGCAGTGGGCACCTGGCTGTGAAGCCGCAAGCTGACACAGCCGGGTGCCCACAGTTAAGATGCCGGCGCCAGGGACAGAGGATGGCCAGTGAACAAGGCCAGGGTAAACACACCGCTGGAACGTGGAACAGGTGAAAAGTCAGCAGCTACAGTTTTTGTAACTGCTGAGTTTTATTTTTTTTTTTTTACGGGAGACTGAATCTCCGCTCTAAATTGCAACTAGAGCAAGGAAGAGCTAATACCTTTTGTTAGGTTTTTATTGTTTGCATAGAGGATGAAAGCACCAAGCTTTAGGAATAAACCTAGATATTACATTTTTATTTTAACACACGGTCTAACAAAAGTTAACAACCAACATCCACAACTTTTTTTGTGGAAATATGCCACTCTGCTTGGATTATGCTAATAGAATTAGTGATAATAAGAATATTAATAGTTATAATATTATTAATAATAGTTATAATTCGTACAGTGTTCAAAGAAGCAGAGGTCTTATTTATTTAAAAAGAGAGTAAAAAACTGATACATAATGAAATGCAAAAGCGTATTTCAAAGTAAGGTCCTTCTTCGAAGATCTGTATCGTGGCCAGCGCCAAGAATAAGAGAGAAAGAAAATGGCCTGATTCAGGATTTTATAACACACGTGCACACCAAACACATCCAGTATCTACACTAATTGCTCGCTCCTTGAGAGTCCTTTGTTCAGGACACAATTTAAGTTGAATTATGCTGCAATCATCAGTCTCCTCCAGCAGGTGGCATCATCACACTGCGGGCAAAATTCATTTACCTCCTAGGACAAAATTAGGGCACAGCTTGCCATTTGATCACTCAATGATGGACAGCTCAGCCAAGTTTTCCTATCTTCACCTTCACAGGAGATCTAACTTTTTTTTCCCTCTAAAAATATATCCCCATAAACCACTGCAGAATGCTATGCGAGAACATCTTTCCAGGAGATGAGTCCTTTATTCCTGCTATAAGCCCCTACTGTGTAATCTTGTTTCTCAATTTCAAAGTTTCAGGCCCTGTTCAAACCGGTGCACTATAGTGTACTCCCATTCAAGGGCCATGTTTGCCCTGCAGGAACCCCATTCATGTCAATTGGGACACAGCAGCTGCATAAACACAGTTGATGCTCCCAATTTGGCATCTGTGCAGGTGCACTATAGCATGCCCGTATGAATGAAGCCTTATTCAGTCGTGTCCACAGATGTCTTATTGATATCCAAAATAGACAAAAAAGAAAACGTTGAGCAGTCCATTATCAGGCCTACAATATATAGGTTTTATATAGCAGTTGTTTTAGTTACACAAATATATATATATATACACACACAGATATATATACACAGATATATATATATGTATGTATTCTATATCTGTAACTAGAGTATAGTATGTTGGTCTATAAAATGTCACATCCCTTACATCATAGTCCCAACATCTAAAGAAAAAAGTGGTGGGATTTTTAAGGCACAACTTATCAGAACATTTGTTGTATATAACAAAAGAAATGTTTTTTACTACAATGGAACAAACATTTCAATTCTGAACTTACAATCAATAAAAACAATTCCACATGTCATCATTTGTTGATTATTAAAAAATATAGCACATACAACTTAAGGGTGCAATTAACTTAACTGAACGTGAACAAAAATGAGCTGGATGGTTGAGTTGCAAGAGAGAAGCCTTCACAAAAAAGCCCGCTTACAATATGACCGACAACACCTTGACATACCTCACTGGGCTTTTATGTGGCATTGGTGCAGTAAAGGCTTCTTTCTGGAAACTCGACCAAGCAACTTGTATTTCTCCTGAGGTGAACTGTGGGGTTTTTCTTTGTATCCCAAACTATTCTTCTGGCAGTTGTGGCTGCAAACTTACTTGGTCTACCTGACCTTGGTTTGGTATCAAGAGATCCCGAATTTTCCACTTTCTAAAAAGTGATTGAACAGTACTGACTGGCATATTCAAGGCTTTGGATATCTTTTTATATCCTTTTCCATCTTTATAAAGTTACATTACCTTGTTATGCAGGTCTTTTGACAGTTCTTTTCTGCTCCCCATGGCTCAGTATCTAGCCTGCTCAGTGCATCCACACGAGTGCTAACAAACTCATTGACTATTTATACACAAACACTAATTGCAATTTAGAAAGCCACAGATGTGGGAAATGGACCTTTATTGCCATTTTAACCTGTGTGTGTCAGCTTGTGTGTCTGTCCCAAGGCCAAACATTCCAGGGGAGAGAAACTTTTGATCCGGGCCATTTGGATGATTTCTGTTATCATTATGGTTTAAAAAGGATCCAAACAACTATGTGATAGAAATGGCTTCATATGATCACTATCCCTAAAGAAAAGACAGTTTTTTGGCATGATCAGTCATATTTTCAATACACATTTTCAATACAAATGCCAAAATGTCACTATTTGTGCCAGGGGAGGTAAACTTTTGAGCAGAACTGTAGATCTGTAATTAATATGTTTGTGTTACTAAAAACAACTGCTGTATAAAACCTGTTTCAAGTATTGTAACCCTCATGAAGGGAGATGTGTACATGACTCCTGAATTGCACTGGCTGCCAGCACTGGATACACTTTTATTGTAGCAAATAAAAATGTATATCTAGACAGCTCCCTTATGGCTCGTACACACGGTAAGAAAATCACACAAAAATTTCCTTATGAGTAACAATCGGCCAATTACCTGATCATTAGTATAGTATTTTCCACAGCTGATTCTGACTTTTTGGATGACAAAAACAGAGGGTGCAAGCTACTCAACTTCCAGTTTTTGTTTAATGTGTGCGGTAATCGCATGGAAATAATTGAATAGAAAAAAATGCGCATGTTCAGAAGCAAAGAACAACTCTACACATCCTCTTCTGCTAGGCTAGTACGTAGCTACGTTTGCCTTTGTCGGCCAAAAAT